AGAGTCAACTAAAAACATGGTTGTATGTTCAGGCCTTCCCTCCTGTCAATATTTAACTCTTTTTTCTTTTTCTTTCTTTCTTTGTTCTATTATTGTATGTGTTCTGATTGAATGCAGACTTCTATGTGTAATATTCTTATGTTTTACTGTATATATTTTTATTGGAAGCCGCCCAGAGTGGTTGACCAGACCAGATGGGCGGGATATAAATCAAATCAAATCAAATCAAATTAATTAATTAATTAATTCTTCCCTTTCCGAGGTCTGCGGCGGGGGCTTCCTGGGCAGCGGCTGCTGCTAGCCTGTCCCGGCTTGCTCCGGACAGCTCTAGGGCAGTGGGCCGCAAGGTGGGGGCCGGAAGGAGGTCTCCGGAAAGCACCTGGTCCGGCAGGCAAGTTGGGCTTGCTCGGGGACCCTGAGCCGCTTGCCGCAGGCTGACAAAGCAGGAGGAGAGGGGCCTCTGGCCGGGCCGTGTGGGGCTCATGGTCAGCGTGCTGGTGTGTGATGTGTACCTCAGTCCCCACCCAGTGACGGCTGCCATCCTGAAAACAGGAGGGGTGGGGGAGACCCAAGCTTTGGTCGTGCTGTTTCTTGATGCCGGCCTGCCACCGAGGGAACCCACCCACACACACACACACACCCAAGTTGGGGTAATGGGAGCTTCGCTGCTCCCGGCTCCTGGAGGCCAGCAGCTCCAGCCGAGCGCTCAGGCCTTTCCTCCCAGGGGAAGCGAGTCCAGCCGGCTTCCAGGCACCTTCGCCTTTTGCAGCCTCCAAGAGGTGGCCCCCACTTTCGGAGGCCTTTATGTCCTGCACCAGGGGATGGGGAGGGCTTTCTGGATCAGGCTTGGAGAAGCCGGGTAGGAATTGACCTTCGCTCCTGTTGGAAGAATCTGATGGAGCATCCCTCTGCTGTGCCCGTTCCTTCTCCTTGGCTGTCCTCCTTGTTTTCCTGTTGCCCAAAAGGGATAAGGAAGGCCTGCTTCCTCTCCTCTCACTTTTCAGGCTCCCTTCTTGCAGGAAAAAAATTACTGGGGAAGTTTTGGTAAAAAAGGGGTTTTCCCCCTAAGAATTTGGTTAATCATTTTAGTTAGCAAGCAGTTTATAAAGCACACAAGACAGCAATGCAGAAATGTGGAGATATCAGCCCAATCTCCTCACATCCTCTGTTTTTTCACACAAACTAGCACCTTATATGTTACAATTACTCCAGAAGCATTTAAATTAGAAAAAAGAGTATATTTACTTACAGTTACCAGCTGTAGTTACAATCAGAAGGAAAAAGGGGGGTAATGGAGTCTCCAGCATGTAGCAGGCCCTGCAGGCTTGCTGCTTAGAGGATGGTCAGAGGAAGAAGAGGGTATCAGCAAAACAGGTGGCTGAGGGTGGCACCTTTTGGAGATGGCTCTCATTTGTGGGGTTGCCATGGGGGAGGGGGGAGGGGGTTGCCTAACAGCACAGAAGGCAGGCCTCCTTCCCTCTCCAGAGACGAGGGTCATGTGCTCTGAAGGGAGGTCTTGGAACAGCGTCTGGTGTGGCTGAGGAGGCCAATTCGAGAGTGACAACAATCCCTTCCACACTGAAGATACAATCTAACAGCACATAACAATAGCAACCACTTTCGACGCCTTGACCTCCTCCTCTCGCAGAGGCTCGTGTCCACTGGGCCCATGAGGTCAAGCACTCTGGCCAAGAGGCACCACGTTTTCTATCCAGTTTTACCGCAAGCTTTGGTGTGAAATACCACTCAGCTGGCTAAACTTCTCTTTTAAGCTTACCCCCTGCCTGGTGTGTATCCCCCCCCCCGCTGCCCCCGCCAGAGAACAGAAGGGGAAGGCGGGTCTAAGGGCCCTCAGCGAACCCCGGGCCCCCTTCTTCTGCCGGCCGAGGGGCTGCCTAGCAGAGATCTGGGGGTTACCCTGGGATGGTGCAGCTTGCTCAAGGCTGCACAGGCTGGCTCTACTCAAAACAGGCCCAGTGAGGAATCAAACTTGCAGCTTCTGGCTCTGCAGACTGATACCTAACTGACTGAGCTAAACATGAACAAATATGCCAACTTCAAAAAGTTCTTTTCAAACAAACTGAAACAAAATTCTCATCCATCCCTACTCATTATGCTGTCTATGGGGATTTGATTCACAGCTGTGATTGAAGTAAAGGATGTTTGGGGATCTAGAATTTTTGAGTGAATTTTTTGCATCTGAAAATTAAGTGCAATATTCTATGTTTAACATGAACAACCTTTTACAGTCTTTCTCTCCTGGTCTACATCTGTCTCCATATTTCATCAGTCTGTCAATGCAATCCATTTCCCTCTGTTTTCTGCTATATTCAGTGCATAATGTACTCAATAAGTTTGGTACCAGGTTCTAAATGGGATCTTAAATGAAATCATTGTGAAGGTTTTTAGCTGAGTTCCAAGCCAACAGCAGCTGAAAAAAAAACATATGCCAATGACTTGACATGCTTATTTCATTTCTGCTGAGGAAAAGCATTGGAACTGATCCACAGCTGCCCTCCTTTTCTGGCTCCCGGTGCGGGAGAACGTGGGGGGGGGAGGAGAAAAGCGGCGGGGCAGCAAGAGCTGCGGTTGGCGGGGCTCCAGGGGCAATGAGGGCGGGAGGGAGGCGTGGGGATGTGGCCCAGCCGGATGGACATGGGGGGGGGGGACAGCCAGGGGAATATATATCACCTTGCTGGTTCTCCTGCATCTCTCAGCAGCCTTCCCTACCGCCAGGCAGGGCTTCCTCCTGGACAGACAATCAAGTGTAGAGATGGGAGGTTCTGTGTCGCTCTGGCTCGGGTCCTTTCTCAAGGGTGGCCTCCAGAGGATGCAGTTTGGGGAACCGGGCTGGTTCTTCCTTGTGGAGTCCCACAGGAGTCCATCATCTCCCCAAATGCTCTTCAATATGTACATGAGGCCACTGCGGGAAGTCATCTGGAGATCTGGGGATGAGACACAGATCTCTCTCTCTCTCTCCCCCCCCCTCTCCCTTCCCCCGTTTCGTCTTCAGCTGTTGAAACTGTGCAGACCCAGGAGCAGAGTTTGGCCTCAGTGATGGACTGGATGAGGTCTAACAGGTTGAAATGGAATCCTGATCAGATGTTGATCATGTGGCTGGGTGGAGAATCTGCCCAGTTGGGGCGTCTTTGGCCTGGTCTGCATGGGGTCACACTCCCCCTAAAAGATCAGGCGAGTGACTTGGAGGTGCTCCTGGAGACAGCCCTCTCCAGAGAAGCAAATGTTGGCTGGGGCCCAGTCGGTCATTTTCCATCTTTGGCAGAATGCGCAGGTGTGGCCCTGTCTGAACAGAAAATCCCTAACAACATTGGCCCATTGATTGGAAATCCCTACAACCGACTACTGCAATGCTCTCTACTTGGGGCTGCCTTTGAAGGCGACACAGAAGCTTCAGCAGGTGCAAAATAGGGCAGCCAGGTTTATACTGGGAGCAAGGAGCTAGGATCACATCTCCCTGGTCCTGGCACACCTGCCTTGGCTTTTTGTTTGCTTCTGTGCCCAATTCAAAGTGCTGGTATAACTCTGTAAGGCCTTTCATGGCTTAGAGCCTCATTATTGTACCTAATGAAGCACCTGTCTCTCAGATGGCTCACCTGGGCTAGCCAAGTGTTGCGGCGGTTGTGGGTGGCCACTCCTAGAGAGGCCTGGAAAACTGACCCCAGGAAGGAGGCTTTCTCTGTGATGGCTGCAGTGCTCTGGATAAACCCCAGGCTTCCTCCCTCCCCACCTTTAGGAAACAGGTTAAATCCGTATTATCTGAAGAGGCTTTCAGAAACATCCTACCCCTTTAACACCCTCGTGGGTCTATAAACTATTGATCTTGAGTCAGTGTTGCCTCTAGGGAGCACTCTCTGGGCAGTTTACAAGTGAATTAAGCAGGTTACACCTTGCCTCCCCTCCAGCGAGCTGGTTCCTCAACTTACTGACCTCAGAAGGATGAAAGGCTGAGTGAACCTTGAGCCGGCTACTTGGGATTGAACCCGGGTTGTGAGCACAGTTTTGGATGCAGTACTGCAGTTTAACTACAGCGCCACGAGGCTCTATTTATGGCTTTATGGGTCGGGGTGGATAGCTGTGTTTTTAAATTGCTATTAGCTGCCCAGAGCACTGCCTGATCACTAGACGGGTGGGGCGGAAGTGTAATTTATCAAATCAATCAATCAATCTAAGAAGGAAGGAAGGAAGGATAGATACGCAGCACAGCACCAGAGAAGGGCAACCAGGATGATCAAGGATCAAGGGACTGGAAACCAAGCCCTTGGAGGAAAAACAGAAATAAATATGCATACCTAACCTTGAAAAAGGGGGACGTGGTGGCACTGCGGGCTAAACCGCAGAAGCCTGTGCTGCAGGTTCAGAAGACCAGCAGTCGTAAGATTGAATCCACACAACGGAGTGAGCTCCCGTCGCTTGTCCCACCTCCTGCCGACCTAGCAGTTCGAAAGCATGCAAATGCAAGTAGATAAATAGGGACCACCGCGGTGGGAAGGTAACAGCGTTCCGTGTCTAAGTCGCACTGGCCATGTGCCCACAGAAGATTGTCTTCGGACAAAACGCTGGCTCTATGGCTTGGAAAATGGGGATGAGCCCCGCCCCCTAGAGTCGAACACGACTGGACAAAAACTGTCAAGGGGAACCTTTACCTTTACCTAATCTTGAAAAAAAGAAGACTGAAGGGAAATGGGATAGTACTTTTCAAATACAGTACTTGAACGATTGTCCTACAGAGGAGGGGCAGGATTTGTTCTTGATCATCCCAGAGTGCAGTGTTCAGAGTTGTAGGAATTTTTAAAAAAATACACAACAGAAGCTCCGCTAATTAGAGTCAGAATTAGCTAAAATTCACCCTTTACTGACCCACTCCTTAGGAGGCTATCTTTAGGTTAAAATATTTTACTCAACTATCCTTTAGGCTTCATAAAGGATCAGTAGTTACGAGAAGGGAAAATAAGGTTAAAGGGTAGGAAGAGGTGGATTTGTTTGGTCCCTGTGCCCTGAGAAATCTCCATATTGCAGAACTGCCTTAACCTGTAGCCTTCCCTCCGGGCATTTTGGAAAGATTTTATTGCTCTTTAGCAAGTAAAGAGCAATAAAAGCGTGTCCAGCAAGAGGGAGGGAGAGGAGGGGGTTTCTTTTCGCCACCTAATCGATCCGTAATGAAAACAAACAAACAAGCAAGTTGGTTTGATGAAAGTCTCTCTTGTGTTTAGACTCGCCTCAAGATTGCTGATTCAGGAGCATGCAGGACCTGCAATAAGGGGCTCAAGTTACAGGAAGACAGATTTAGGCTGAATCCTGCATCAGGAGAAACTTCCCAACTGTTAGAGCAGTACGACAATGGAACCCATGACTTTGGGAGGTGGTGAGCCCTCAATGGGCTCAATGGGCTCAATGGCCTGGCAGAGCCAGTGGGGCTTGCCTAAGCCTGCCTTTGGTGAGAAGGGGATTCTTGGTTCAAAGCGAAAGGAACGGCCTTTCCCTCCGTAACTCTTCAGAGCCAGAGTCCTGCCAACATGGAGAATTTCCTGGGCCAGCTGGCCTCCCCAAGCAAGGGAGCTCCCTGTGAATTCATGGTTAACCCATTGTGCTAAGCCCTGGATGGGTCCTTATCTTGGACACCCTATGCCAAGACCACACACTCATTGGTGTGGCTTGTTATTAAAGGGACTACGACTCCATGGAAGTGCAAAATTAAAAAGACTGGAAAGCCAAAAACCATCAGACTTTTTAAAGGGTTGAGCCATTAGGCAAATTATACCAAAACCAACACCTCCCCTTTCATGGGCTCCTTTATTTTATGTTCTGCTATTTATTATGCTGCGGACAATTTAGTAAACAAAGTTCTCTGGATGAATTATATACATAAAACAAAACAATGACAACCCAGCAGTACATGAGAAAACCAAGTGGGGGAGGGAGAGAGAATGCAACTCCTAAGGATGCCAGAAGCAATAAAGCAGCAGGAAGATCAAAAGGGTGTTGCAACCAGAAAGCACTCCAGAGAAAGTCCCCCCCCCCAGGTCTGAACAAGCCTCTGGGGACCAGGGTGGGTGATGGGGGTGGGGTGGGGGAAGAACATTCCAAAGATGGGGTGTGCTTCATGATTGGAAACCCCGCTCTCTGCCTGCCTCCCCCCATTTATCTGTTTATTCAGGCCATTCCCGGCCCCCTCTTCCTCCCAGGAGCTGGGGGGCGGCGGCACACGGGGCTGTCCTGCCCCTGATTGTGTTCCCACAGGGACCCCCTGAGGCCGATAAGTCTGGAGGAGCAGGAGAGGCCCAAGGGCACCCATCGCCTATCATCTGGTGGGGGCAGGTGGGGGCAGATGATGGCCTGAGAGTCTCTCTAGGTGCTCTTCCAGCCGCCTGGC